AACCAAATACATTTGTATTATCAGCATTTTAATAATACTAATAGTACAAAAGGATTAGAAAGACTATAAATAAATTATCGCTCACTTATTGACAACTACCACAGAGACAGAGAAGACGATATAAAAAGACCCTTTTATTTTACACCAATAAAAGATAATAGAAAGCACCACTCGTGCTTACAAAATATAGCCAACAGTTATGGCTTTGGCGAGCATAACGCAACACCGCTTGAATGCTACCCTCAAGAGGATTGAAATTAGCAATGTGGCCTTCAACAGGCAAAACACGCTTTGATTCTACTGTCTAAAACCTCCCTTTAAATACTTTCACCTTTCTACCTCATTTGAATATCACGCAAGCTAGGAATTTACATTCTGGCAGGAAATTGGAAATGAGGCGGGCAGGAAAGTGAATTAACATAAAAATAACTGCTAATAAACTATACGAGATCTTACATAGTATAGTATTATAGATTGAACAAAAGTAGTTAAGATTAATGCAAAATTTTATTACGGCTTAAATTTTTAGATTACTCTCGCGAATTTTTGGAGGAGAATTTTCTAAGTTTTCACGAATATCAGGTTTTGTTTTTCTACAAATCTCTAAATTTCATATATTTTTGCTGTTTATTTTTTAAATTTTTGTGGTAATGTTTTAAATATTAGTTCTGTTTAAGAAAGTTTAATATTAGTGTACTTCAGAGTTCATGCAAAATTATTTTGCGAAGTCATCCTACGCTAAAATCTAAACGAGAACTTTGAATTAAGATACGTTTCGCTGAACCTGGGGAATATGAAACAAATTCTTTTAGAAAATTACACAAGGTCGCTTTCTATTGCTTATCGATGCCAACTGTTTCACTGCAAAATGATCTCCCCCAACTCTTAAATTTAAGAAACAAAATCATCTTTGAAGAAATTCTGTGTACGTATAGTGTGAAAACACCATTCAATTAAATGGTAATCTTGATCCATTGTAATTGATGTAGAACATGTTTCCAGTATTTAATTGATTTATAACTGTAATTTTCAATAAAAAACTTATACAAAAAACATTTAATTAATTATGAAGTACATGTTCATGTTACTGCTATGTTTCCTGTAGCTTTTTAAATACTTCAAAGAAACATTTATTGTTTTAATTAAACGAATTACGTTTTCTGGCAAAGCAAAAAAAAAAAAAAAAGTTGTAATTTGAGCGACGTATTTGTTTCAAGCTTAATTCGCAAGCAATCCAATGAAATAAATGCACAGTTACAACTTAAATTACTAAGTCTTTTGTATTAAATAAGACTCAATTATTTAACACGTCACTGTGCATTTCAATGGAGAAAGGGGTTATAACCAAGTCTTTTTATTAAATAAAACTAAATTATGTAAGACGTTGCTGCGCAGGAGAAAATAAGACTCGTTGTTTCAATGGAGAAAATAGGACTGGTCTCTACGTGATGTTAATTTACTACTGTAACCCGACGGCTTTCAAGCGCATCATCATGGCAAGACAGAGTTCAGGAATTGGTAAATAGCACGATAGGACAGGAGTTCTGTGGATGTTTTACCTTCTGGCTTTAGGCGTTTACATGACTGGTAGTTCTTTCTTTTATGATGTGAATAATAAAATGTGAATGCATTTTAGCAATATAGTTTTCCATTATAATACCAACATTCCTTCAGTGTAATGATAGTTTCAAAGGAAAAGAATAAAATATTTAAGGAACTAACAACGCTTAGATTTCTAGCACCTTGGTTATACACGTTTTATTTCTTTATACGAAAGAAAGGAAGTATTGTAATCGCGAAAGAATTTCAGATATCATATTTCAATGAAAATATCCATTTTCACTGCTCTCAAATCCATTTGAACGATATTTTTGAGTAACATCTGTACGTGATTTTGTGACATTCTGTACGGGACATCTGCATGTGTATTTGCGTGACATATGTACGATATTTTTCCGTGACCTTTGATATTTGGTATTTTTTTATACTTTTTTGATGTTTAGAATGCAGGAAAAGTGGGCGAAGCTTTCAGAATTGGAAATACTTTTCATTTGAGATTTTATATAAATGAAACATAAGGATTTATTTTTTAAAACTGACAACACTAGTTACTTTTACAGACAGAATAAAGCAACATATAATAGTATCTTTTTTCTAAAACGAATTGTAAAATGGATTAAAAATGGATTCAGAAGTGATTTGTTTCCTAACGTCTGTACGTACGTACGTATGTATGTCGCATAACTCAGAAACGAGCTTTAGAACATTTAAATTTTGTATGTGGAACTGCTATATCAAGTAATTGTGCACATCCGTTTTAGTTGTAATCGGCCTCCCACAACGTATGTAAATATATATATATATATATGAATATACTCATTCTATCTCATCCTAGTGTTTTTATTCTTATATGTTGATAAATTGTGCATTTTTTTGCTTTAAAAGTGATTTAATTATGTTTTTCTTATGTTCCGGCTAAGGTTTTTATGTCGCTAGTTATTCTGCATGCAGTAGATGTAGAATTATCAACAATTCAAAAGTGGTGTTAAGCTTAACGAGGCCGCCATTTGAAATTCTTAGTAGAATATTGAATTAAGTCAGTATGTGCACCAACTTCAATGTCATTTTACGGGGGGGGAACCAAACGTAAGCTTTCAGTTTTGTGCACAGAAAAATATGTCTTCTTCCTCGCTGGCCGAATTGCTTGCTTTTGCGTAGAAACTGTAATTTTAATCTTAAAAATTGTTTTTAACTGTATTTGTTATTTTATGTTTTTCTCTATTTTACAATTTTTTATGAAGAGGCTTTGAGTTTTTTGACGCAAAGTGAGAACTGAATGAGAAATTTATTTCTAATGAAATTTGAGAAAATATGTTTTAATAAAATGCAGGAAAAAATCTGTATAATTTAAAAGGCCGTACAAGGAAGTCATGTGATGTCCACATCAGATATTTTTCCCTTATCATTAATTTGACAGTCTTAAACACCTCTTTTAATCATAAGACTTTACTTACTTTAGAGTATTCTATACTATATTTAATTTCTGGAAGACTCTTGAACTAGTAGAAGTATCGTAATTACTTATATTTTTCAGGTGTTAAACTGAAATCTGCATACCAAGATCGGACCGCAGTTTCGTTTGTAATCCTATAATTTCTACATTTTTTAGTTTTTTTATTACTTTCTGAAACTTTATCGATAATTTCTTCGATTAGGTAATTTTAATATAAAGATATTAGACTGTAATCTTAAATTCTAAGATGGCGGACGGAGAAACTTAAAAATTACTATTGCTCATGTAAATCCTTGACAGCGAAATTGTTGCTGTAAATCTCAAATAGCTAAAGTTCGACAATTTTTTCACTATTTAAACCTATGCCGCTCCACTAATTTTACTTACTTATCCCCCCCCCACACACACACCACCGCAATAAAATAACTAAACTAGTTAAAATATCTCTTTTTAATACCTTGATGGGATTTTTCTCTTTTCCGTTTCGATAAAATAGCATCCAATAGAAATAAATGTTAAATAGATTTTTCATTTACTTAAGTCAACTAGAAATAAAGACCCATCATTTATCAGAGATGTTATAAAAGCATTGTTGTATACTGCGTTAAATTAACCATTTAAAAACTCATTTTATTATGAACAACATTTTTCTGCAGCTGATGATTTCTACTATGAGTATCATAAATAAAGTAGTTTCAAATACCTTAATAACAAACCAATAGCAAAATTTTACACTTCTTGTGTATGCCATCGTTTGCATCAATATTAATATCCAACAGTTTTGTAGTAATGTAAAGACTCAAAACGTCCATTAATTCCCTTCTTTTTTTATTTTTTATTAAATTGCAATACGTATTTCCTTTAATATTTGGTATTTTTAATACTTTTTTTATGTTTAGAATGCAGGAAAAAGTGGGCGAAGCTTTCAGAATTGGAAATACTTTTCATTTGGGATTTTATATAACTGAAATATAAGGATCTAGTTTTTTTTTTTAACTGACTAGTTACTTTTACTTCCTTGTACGAAGTAAAGAAAGTATCGTTATTCAAGGAGAGAAGCGAAATATTTACATTAATTCTTATATTTTTAAATATTTTAATTTTTAAAAATGTTTATGTTGAGAAGAGAATCATACTGGATATGAAAAAATATAAATCTGATTGCAGTGTAATTCCTCAAAGGAATTAACTATTAAAAAGTTTTAAAAATTAATATACGTGAAAATTAAAATATAATAAATGTATACAATCTCAACACTTTTATTTTATGCATACATTTCACGTATTCGCTCTTGCATAACATCTGTAAATCCATGGGATTAGAAGAGTTGTCTTCAGAAGAGGAAACAGAACTGTATTCAATACACATTGTATACCTACATACCCATTTAATACCTTGATGGATGCAAACGAACGAAAAGCCCCATTGGGACCGTTACTCGCTCGTGACAGAGAAAATTTGTGTGTGAAAATGACTTTAGGTAATTGTGTTAAAGAATGATGCAATATTTCGTTTTTCTTCTTAAAAAGCGTGAATCTACTGTTGACAGCCCATAAAGCTAAATGTTATTACTCTGGAATAACGTTTAAACCCACCCCGAAGAAAATTTTAGATTTAAAAGCTTTGTCTCCCCGTGGCTTTCCTCCCCTCTCCTTTTGAAATAATGTTTGAATTCATATACGATAATTTTCAACACTTCGGATTTATCATAATCCCTTTACTCATGAAACTTAACTGCATATCAAGCTGGTAACCTAATATTTGATTAAATAACTTCATGACCCATATTCTGGTAAGGGGCATTTACTTTGGGAGGAGGGATATTAAAAGAACTTTCAGAATAAAACCCCTGCAGAACATCCAATGGTGCCGCATTAGATGAGAACGCGCATGCCTTTGGGACTATCCCGGGACGCAGGAAAACGGTAACTCTCGCGCCTGTGACGTCTTTGCGCGAGAAGACTCGAATAAGAGCGAGAAGAACCAATCAACCGCTAGTCTGAATTCTCGTGTTAAAATTCAAGGTCAGGATGAAATCTGTTCCCCGTCGGATTAGTTGAGGATAAACTCGTAGGAATCTCTTGAAGTCTCTGTCTGGCATTTTGTGATTTACTTTCTGGATGCAAAAAATCAGTTTTGTGGGTGCAGTAAGTTAAGATAAAGTTCAGCACGCCTCTAAAATCAATACTAACGGTTTGTCCTGTAAATGTGTAGACTGTTGCTTACAGAATCGATGAAGGGAAGATTCCACTGTGATTTAAAGAAAATATTTTCTGATAATTTTCACCATGCCACATTACCTTGTGATGAATAAACAATGCCCATTTTCATTCAGAAAATAGAGCTATTGTTAAGGGAGAATGAAAGCGCTGCACAGAGTTTTACAGATACAACAAAACCAAAACATTTTGAAACCTAAGTAAATCCATGATGCTGTAATAGTTAAAATGTGATTCCCTCCAATTGTTCCGTGTCATTTTTCTTTAGAGCTCTAGACATACCATCACTGTTGTTTATGCAGTTGTAAGTGGTAAAATTATTGTTGAAGCATATATACTTTATATATATATATATATATATATTGTTATATTAAATGTGCTTATGCCAGTTCCATTACGTCCAGTGTTAATGTTTGCATAGTTTAGTGCTTAACTGAAGTGTTATAGAGTAACAATCAGCATTTTGCTCAACCAAATATATAGGTGTATTATTGTTGCAAAGGCCTCAGTAGATGCAACGAAATTTGTGTTGTAGAATTAAAATTGTGACTGAACAATCAGTTGAATTTTGCTAAAAAGAATAATGAATAATAAACAATTAAATTATACTGCTATTTATTTTCTTCCTCCTGTAAAGTTTTGACGTCCACTGTTACACTAGTTACAGACCAGTCATGGGAAATGGGATGAATAAAGTAAGTATACTGGTATTTAGTATATTCTGTGCAGTAATAATTAATATTTAAAATAAAACTGAGCTAAATTCATTGTATTAAAAAAAGTAAAAATCATTTTGTTAATTTAAAAATTAAAAAGTCCTGAACATATACTTTTCAAATTATTTAGTTTCTTTAATTTAAGTATATTCTTTTCGTGAAGTATATAATAATCAGATAGTGTATTTTTGCTGGAGAGGATCAAGAGAAGTTTATTAAATAAAGATATTTTTCATCTTGAACATAATCTATTAATTTTGTATAACAGAATCTGTATTATTTCATATTAGCATAAATATTTCATGAAATTGTCTAGGAATGAATGGATCATATTTTTAATATCAGGGCATGGTATTGAAAGGAGCTATATTTATCAAAATGCTGATTCTGTAATTTTTTTACATCCTTAATTTCAAAACAGTAAATAAAATAAGTGGTTTTTGGAACATAAACTAGGCTTTCTCATTCAGAGTCGTAGCTAGGGTTTTCAGCGCCCAGGGACAACTGAAGATTTCACGTCCCCTATTGCTTGCCAAGGATGGAAAACATTTAATTCTAAAATGCCGTAACATCAGTTTGGCGCCCCTTGGATTCTGCGCCCAGGGACAGATGCCCCCCTCTAGCTACACCCCTGTTCTCATTTTATTCTTATCATTTCTTATTATAAAGTGTTCTGTTTATTAATTGTAAAATAATGTCTTAATTTTTTTATTATTATGCCAAAATATGAATATCTTTCCGTATATTTATTTGTGTTTTTTAATTGTTCAGGTTTTGAAATAAATATTATGGTATTTTGAATTTGTATTATTCAAACAGTTGTAAGAAGTTGAGAAACATTTTGTGAAATTTGTTGGCTGGAGATATTTTTCTTGCAGTTTCATTCCTAATTAACTTTATCAATAAATTTCCATATTATAAAATAGCCATAGAACATGAAAGTAATTATAGATTTGAAAATGTGCAAAGGTTAAATTAAAATGAAATATTTAACCTGTTCAGGTTTATTATATTCCCTCTTGTAATATCCCATTGGGGAAATTTATACAGTGATTTCCTCCTTCCTTAAATGCAATTACAAACAAGTTTGCTGATGATTTATATATTTTTCTGGAAGCTTTATGTGATAATTTTAAATAAAATCAGATATTAAAGTGTAGATGACTATTTAAAGAATCTGGGAAGGAAAGTTAGATCGTGACTGCTTACATTTTAAATACTAACTTTTTTATAACTACTATTCAAAATGAGTTATAGCTAAAAATACCTATAACATACTTTAGTATACTAATTTAAGCAGCTCAAAGCTTTAGACTTACGTTTCTATGTTCATGATATGTAAAGTCTTGAAGTTTAATTATATATAAAGTCTTGAAATATTTTTATTATTGATGATGAAAATTGTTAGTTTACTCTGTTAGTTATGGAATATCCTGGAGTAAGCCTGAGTATTCACAATAAACTGTATTTTTTATTACATTTAAAACCTATTTATTTCTATGTATATAATTATTCAGTTTGTCCCCCAGATGTGATAGTGTCTACTTACTCTGACTGCCGTACCAGAGAGCCTTGGTTCGAATCAGATTGCCCTCCTGAAAGTATGAAATTATCCCTTCTAGAGAGCCCTTGGTTTGTAGCTTTCAGCAATGTAAAAAAAAAAAAAAAAAAAAAAAAAAAAAAAGTGATGTTAAACTTACTAAAATAGTAAAAGTATAAGATTGTAAAAACTCAACTACTATAGCTGTTAAAATTAAATCACAGTTAAATTGAAAAGAAATCAGTTAATATTTTATTTATTTAATTCAAATAACTTACTTAATATTTTATTTATTAACTTATATTATTATTAACTATTGGTAATATAAAATATTTGAAAAAAACTATAATTGAATATTATGTTTTTTAATTAATTAAAATTATTAAAAAATATGTTTTCTTTCACAGTCATTTTTTTATCTGAGTGAATACTTGCAATAGATTCAGATCATTTATTAAAATGTCGTGAAGTTTCTCACATGAATTAATCAAATTATATTTTACCCTTAATACAGATTTTAAGGTCTTAATGTTCAACTGTGTTTTTTCAATTGTCCATATTTTATTGATACTAGGAAAAAAACACGTTCTGCTGCTGCATTTGTTCCTGAAAGGGAAAGCGCAAGTTCTACAATTTTCAAAATATTTTCATAAGGAATATTATTTTGTTAAAAAATGGAGGAATAACTCCGTGCATTTTTGTCTCTTTCTACATTTTCAGACAACCAACATTTAATTTTTTCTTCAGTAACATATTTTTTTACTAATGACACCTTATCAAAAATCAAAAAGATCATTTCGCAAATATTATTTTTCAGAAAATGGTTACTAATATATAAAAAGATTTTTCCACCATATTCCCATTAAATCTCCTTTTTAATGTCACCCAATGAAAATTTTAATATCCTCGAATTGAATTGTGTTCTTTGAAGATATTCCAAGCAGTTATTATAAAAATTCAGATTCTTTGGAAAATAGGTCATTTATGGCACTTGTTTCAACCTAGTGATGTCCTTTCGAATAACTAAAGGAACGTAATCGTTATCAATTCTTTCTCACAATTTTGTTTTTAAATTATTGATTTCATTTGACACTTCCGTAATTGAAATTTTGTCCCCTTCAATAATTTGCATCTTCATTCTTGCACAGCATTGTGAAATAATATAGCTTGGTTGTGGACGAACTGATGCCAAATTTGTGATGTGTCATTTTCAATAAAGAGCTGCAATATTCTTGGACATTTATCTTGTGATAAAAAGTATGATTTTAATGGTTTGTATATTTTAAAAATATTTCCTATAGCTGCTAAAAGAGCTAGCCATCGTGTTTTCCTGTAACCAATAATTCTTTCACATTTGATTTCTGCGTTTTCACAAAAATTCTTCAAACTGTCAACATGCACAATGTATATATATAAAAACACGAATGAAATTTTGCAGTGATATTTTCAAGATCCACTGGAAGTAAGTCAGATGCTGTTTTAATAGTACTGTGTAGAATGTGCGCTGCACAACCTACCCCAATAATTTATTGCTTCAAATGTTCGTTAAGTTTCGTAAAAACGTTATTGATGCCTCATCTAGCTTTTCTGCCAAAATTTGCATGTTATCCTCACAATAGGCAATAATTTTATTGTTCAAATTATTATTTTTTAAAACAGTACTTATTGGATCAAAAATTATTTGTGAAGTTTCACCCGGCAATGAAACAAAATCTAATATTCTAATTTTAATTCCTGTTTCTGGATCAAAAAGTCTAACAGTTGTGGGAAATAATATTAAATCTTTGTGGTTGGAAGCATCATAATATATGGATATAAATGTGCATTTATATAATTCTTTCTGCAATGTGAAAACGCAAATAGTGAAAAAGCATTACAAATAATTGCTTTGGTTTTGTCCTGCACATGCAAATTTTTGTCGTAATGTTTAATAATTTGCGACATACAATCAAGTGAGTAAAACTTTGATTGGTTTATGGTGTGGAAAGCAAAAGCTCTTCAACTAATGCTGTTCCTCCGTTAACAATACATATTCCTTGACGAGACGTAATGTTAATGATCAAACACCACCGAGTAAATCTAACTCATTACATCACCTAATTTATCATAGTTTACTCTGCATGCATTTTATGTGTTTTTTTATTTATGCATTTTTTATTTCTTTATATTTACTATAATAAATAACAAATAATAGGTAATATATTTTGGCAGTACATTTAAAATAAGAAATGCAGATGGTTTCTAAAAAGTGGGACATATTTAAAAATCTGCGGGATAGTCTTCCAAAAAAGCGAGATGTATGGTCACTTTATATTAAAGGTCACAAATGTAGTTAAAAATTTTCTTAGTTTTCTAATGATTTGAAAGTAACTTTTGACTGTTTTCTGTTCCACACTTTCCTTTAAGACAAATACTATTTTTTCTGAACAAATCACACAATAGAAATCCATTCATATCCTGTCTATGTGACCTTTATGAAGTAGCAGTAAAATGCAGGTAAAGATTTTTTTGAGGCACCATAAAGAATATTTAAAATTTCATACAAATAACACTGTTATTGCTTTGTAAAGGCTAGTTTTTATTTTGTCTTTTTAATCTGTTACTCTTTTATTATTATTGCTGTAACACTTTTTTTTTTAATCTATATATCATTTTTCACTGAATTATTTTGTGATATTTCTTAATAAATTTCCCAAATATGTTTTGTTTTGTACGTAAGAAAATAGAAAATACCCATGTTCCTGTACTCTTAATGAAATGTAATTTGTAATGGATATAAAATAAAAATTGTGGATTTAATTCTTATTACATATTAAAAAATAATACTTATTATATCGCATTAATAAAATGAATTATAAAGTATTCATTTATCTTTACATAATTCTGCAATTGTCAATTTACTAATTTTGCGTGGTTAAAAAATAAAGTAACATTTTTCTATTCTACATATCTGCAGTTGATGATAATTTATCTCTCTTTCAGGTTCTTCCTGGTCTTTATGTTGGCAACTTCAGGGATGCAAAAGACCAGGAACAGCTCCGAGCCAATAATATCACCCATATAATATCCATCCATGATAATGCAAAAAAAGTTCATGATGTGAGTATTTCAGTCTAGGTGATCATAATATGTATTTTGTAGTATTTAATTTATTTGCATTTTGGTCACCTGTGTTTGTTGTCTTAAAGTATCTTTTTTTCTTTATATATATATATTGGGAAATTTACTGTTAAATGTTTATTAATATAATTATAGCAGAAGTCATCCTGAGACTAAAATTTCAAGATTGCTCTTCTTATTGTAGATTTAAACATCCATGTAAGACTGATGCATTTTGATTAAATTACATGAACAGATACTAATTAAAATTTAAAATGGGAAATAAGTTTTTTTTTTTTTTTTTAAATTTTATAATAAATTTGTGATTTGATCATATCTTATACAGTTCAATACAAGATCTATATGATTTTAAATTGAGTCAAATGCAATGTTTGTAATGCCTTGAATAAATTATTATTATACATAAAATAAGACCTATTGCTTAAGTCTACTAGTTGTTTTTATTTTAATATTTTTAACTACACATCATCAGTTAAAAAATTTAGTATTTGCGCAAAAAAATAAAATTGTAAAATAGTAACTTGGAAATACTTCATAATTTGTACAAAGTAATTTTTTTTTTTTTTTAAATCTTCTAGTTTGCATGGAAAAGTTCTAAATTGCACCTATAGTTTTTAAGATCTAATGCAAAAGAAATAATGAAAAATAGTTCTATTGGATAGCAAAGCCATGTGTTGGTTAAAGTGAACTCAAATAAAATGAATATTAAAGCAAGTAGTTTACTGTGAATATTAAAGCGAGTAGCATTATGAGTTTTTTCTCCATCTCCAGTACTGATATCATGAATCATCTGTGTCATTAGACTTGAAGTTGTAGAAACACAATGATGACAAATTAACCATTCTTACCTGATCAGAATCATGCAGAAATGTAAAAACATAATGCTAAAGCCAATCATAATATTAAAATTTACAAACTGAAAATGTGCCATTAAGAAAAAATTAATTCATTTTGGAATGACCAAATTTAAAGCGTTAATTATAAAAAGTTACTATTTTTTTTAAAGAAAGGAAAGACAGCGAAATTAAATAAAAGAATTAAGGGACTATCAGAAATTAAGGATTTTCATTTAGATATTTTTTTTTTTTTTTTTTTCTACAGATTTATATATCAAACTTCTCAGGTGATAAATGGTGCTGAAGAAGTATTTTGTTGTCTAAAACATCACATCACATTTTTTTCTGTGTTCTTCAAAGGTGCTTTATTTTCAGTATATTGCCCATTTAGTTCAATGATTGTTTGCTTTCTTTTAATGAGCTTTGTTATTCTTCATTCACAAAAGAACCTAGCTTTATCAACGAAAAGTTGAGGGAGTTGCTTATTTATGGCCTCTTCCAAATTGAATGTTATACCACAAAAGAAATTTTAAAGAGAGCCAGACAGGTGAAAATGAGGGCACAAGATCAGGTGATTATGATTCACATGGCAACACTTTTCATCCAAACTCCAGTAATTTTTGTCACATGATCAAATTTGTGTGTGTTCTCGTTTCCAGTACAGTTAATGAGCTCTGAAAGAGTCTTAATCACAAAAATTATTGGAGTTTGGATGAAAAGTGTTGCCATGTGTATCGTACTAGCCTGATCTTGTGCCCTCAAATTTTCGCTATCTTCAAAATTTCTTTCGTGATATAACATTCAATTCAGATGAGGCTGTAAATCAGCACCTTGTTCAGCTTTCTGCTGATAAAAAATATACTATTGACTGATCATTGTTCTTTATACAAAGGAAAGATCTTTGAAAAACATAGAAAAAGTGAGTCATGACTTTTGATGCGAATAGATGTGAATCAAGATTTATTGAAGCATAATTATATATGTACTGAAATTATTCAAATGTAAAGAAGAGAGGCAGCAAATGGCTTGTTCTGCACAGAAGCATGAGAAAAGTTCATAAATTTTGATACTAATATTAAATTAAGAATAACAACGTTGTATTCCATTTTGTTTCTTGGTCGGTTAATAATTTTGAGTTGCAGAATTGTCATTGCTTTTAAATAAAAGATTTCAGTGTCACTTTTGCTGTTATATAAATATAATGCATCATTAGCATTATGCAAGAAGCTTAGGACATAGATTAATTTTAAAATGATGTCGCTGAGAAACATTTAGTACAAGCATATCATGAATTTTAAGATAGAAAGGAGAAATAATGAATCAAAAAGGAGACTTAAGAGGCTATTATAAATTTTAAAATGCATGCACACACATAACTCATTTCTTAACATTGAAATTGAAATGTTGAGATAGAAACGCCGTAATATTATATAAATGAGAAAAATTGTACATATAGCTAAGACATACAAGTGATGTCTAATTTCAATCAGTGACATAAGGAAGAGGCTTAAATGGTATTAAAAGTATGATTTTATGTAATGTGTCAAGTTCACTGAATGTGTTACTTATAGTCATCTGCTACAAACAAAGAGGGACATGGAAGTTAGACTCGTGTTGGTGACTAGACCAGGCAAATGTTACCAGTCTTATCTTCTTTGTAGCTTTTAATGTCCAGTGAACTTTCCTAAGGTATCCATTGAAGCATGAAAAATCTGAAGTTTCTACTTATTACACAAGTTTTTCATCTTTTTAAATTTTTCATGACTTCAAGGATACCCTGAATAAAAACAGATGAAAAAAAAGTGCATAGGTTTTTCTTAAAGTAGGGAAATTTCTGAATAACAGCTTTTATAAGTTTGGTGATACTCAAAAGCTGAGTTTTATAAGAATTTCAATAACTTAGTTGCACTCCTTATCATTAAATCAACATAAATTTCCTGTTTCAGGATAAAGAATATCTATGCATCCAAGCTGCAGATACTCCAGGTCAGAATCTTACTCAATTTTTTTCACGATGCAATGACTTCATCCATAGAGCTCGTTCTTCGGGGGGAGGGGTGCTGATACATTGGTATGTCTTATTGATACATTGATATACTTATATTATAAATTAACTTTATTTCTTGTAATTTATTACTTTGAGAAAAACTTTATCTTAAAATTCCTGTAAGCATTGTAAGTGATATACTTTCTTGATAATTTTTTTAATAAGTAAACAATAGATTTTTTTTAGTTAAAATATAAAAGCCATTAACACTTTTACAGATAAGAAGTTCAAAAATAGATTTAGGTGGAGAGTCTAAAAAATCTTATGTAATATCTCTGGAATAATTTAGATACAAATCATAATTTAAAAAATATTATTAATATTTTTTAATAGTTAACATTTTTCAATATAAAAATTGTGGAGTATAAGGATTATTTAAAAGCATATGTTCTTTTGGTGTATAAATTATACTTTTAGTGTGTGGCATGTATTCATTATTAAGCATCAGATTTATTTTTAGTCTGGCCGGTGTGTCCCGAAGTGTCACAATAGCAGCAGCTTACCTAATGTCTGTTACATCACTGTCGTGCAAAGATTCTCTAAAAGTGTTACGAGGAGCCAGGAGCATAGCCAATCCCAATTGTGGATTTCAAAAGCAATTGCACCAATTTGAGTTTCGGAGATTAACTGAGGTACATATATTATAATAATTTCAAGTTAACTAATATCTCATAAAATTGTTCAAATTAAAGACAAAATGTAAAATGTATTATAATTTTAATTTTTAGGATGTTTTTATTTCTGCAAATATGTAATGTTTTATATATTATTGATAGTCTACAAAATGTTCAATTAGTTATATGTTAGATTCCTGTGTTTTAAGCATGTCGGAAAATTATGGTGTATTAGATTTTAGTTAATAGTTTAGTAATGTATGATATTGGCTGAGCAGTAGATAAAACACTGTAGCTTTCCTAAAAGTATTGTCTTCTGTGAAATTCACAAATTACCTCAAATATATTAAATAAAACCTTTCTTTTATTTTTTTAGCACATGTTTTACCTCATCTCTCTCATTTTTGGCCATTCAAGTTATGTCATTAGTAATGTCTTGAACACTAATTCTTTTATTCACTTAGCCTTTTAACCCACTGCTTATCTATGATTTCCATAGATAACATTATGATTTCTACAGACAACATGAAAATAATAAAATTTACTCATCTTGTGATTTTCACGCGTTTGCAGTTTTTCTCATTATTTAAAAATGCATCTTGTTTTTTCCCCATTTTCTACAGTTGTTAGACTTGAATTATGTTTTGATCAAGAAATGGAATTAATGTTGCCTAAACTTTCAGACTTGCATAGATATATGGGGTATACCTGGAAGACCTAGTTTTCTTTACCCCTTAAGATTAAAAGCTCATCATTTTGCAAACAACATACCTCATAATCCCATAAAAAATAGCCTTGCAGACAATGTGCTGTTTTTTGGTCCAAAACAAAACTGCAACTCACAAGCAAATTAGCAAAGAAACTTGGAATTTGATGCAAAGAATGTAAAGCAGGACTTTGCCTGGAATCTTGTTTTAAAATTTACCACATACACTTAATTTTTAGTGTAATTCGTATAAATATTGATTATTCTCATTACTACTGCCTTGGTAGTTTCTGCTAAACTTCCTTAGCCTGACCTGCCACATGTGATATAGCATTATTGTGAAAGAGAAACCATTCTCATGAAACAGTTCTCCCGCCCCCCCCGAATGCTCTGTGAAAAGCATTTCTCCATCAACAGACAGTTCTTTAGAATCTAGCGTTAAGAGAGAGAGAGAGAGAGAGAAAGAAAGAACTTCTTTGAGGAATCAGATCTCATCATAAAGCAAATTGTAATTTAACCAAGATTTATTTTCAGGATTTTTGTCTCTATATGATTATTCTTAAAATTTATTTTCATTAAAGCTTATTTTTCAGCATAAAATATATATTTAAAAAATATTGGTTACAAAAATATGCTACATAATTTAAGTCTTAAATACATGTAGATATGAAATATGTAGTAAAAAATGTATGCAATTTTTGAAGCAATTTTGGTAAAAAATTGCATACATTTTTTTAAAATTTTTAACATTAAAAGTTTGAAGGGTTAAAGAAGTTGATTATTCAGAAGCTTCTCACTTTTCCTATCAATAGATAGCACTAAAAGCTTTATTTCCTTCTTAATTTGTTTAGAATATTTTGGAAGATTTTTCACTAACATGTTATACAGGGGCCCCAACATTGGTGGCATATGGTATTCACACTTAAGCGTGTGTTTGTTCTTATCTCATTTTGGGAAAAGATAACTATCAATCGTTCCAAACTTCAATCAGCATGTTTGGCTTATACAAAGTGCACCCATTTATTAACTGGACAATTTCTTATCAATAAGAAAAAAGATTACTGTCCTTCACAAACTTATCTCCTTCAAAATAATTGCCAGAGGAGTATAATTTTTCCAATGTTTCATCAAAACACTGTTTTAGGTAATGGAACTAGTCATTCACAAAATATGCCTAATATTTTATATCCAAAACATTTTCAGATTGCTATCCTTTCATGATCATCTTAATCTTTAGAAAAAGGGAAAAAATTAACTGGCAATGAATTGAGAGAATATGGTGGGTGAATTGCAATTGAATGTTTAGCAAGATATTGTTGTGCAGACTTGCTATATGGATCATGTCTTTTTTTTTTTTTTTGCTGTTTTGTCAAAATCCAAGGCACAAATCAAGCACAAACTTTCCTAACTTTCAGATTTTTAATTTAAGTTAACTTACAGCTTTCTTTGTTTATGCCAAGCACGTCAGAAAGTTGCTCAGTTGTTATGCATCTATCAGCTCTTACAAAAAAAAAAAAAAAAAAAAAAAAAAAAAAAAAAATTATCCACATTTTTCTCATTCTTTGAAACTGAAGGGCACTCTATCTTTAGTTCATCTTTCAACACTTTCATGCCTGAAATGACTTATTCTATTTCCCGTTGATAGCTGTATATCATAATAAAAAATAACTCCACACACATTACACAGTTTAAATACCTTTATTTTCCATAGCGACACTCACGTGCTAGGTTCCACCTTACAGCGTAACACATGAATCGCAACTTCGAATGTACCACAAAATCAAGTTTTTCACAGAATACATTTCAGTGCCAATTCCGGTAGCCAACATTCCGCTCTGGCGCCAAGCATTTCTCAGCTAATACAAAACACTCCCGGCGTTGAAATTCACAATTTCAAAACTATTATTTAAATAAATGTAAATATAAAGGCACTACAATAAATTACTTCACAATAACAAATCACAATATGAAAAATATACATTCAAATTATTACAACAAATACCAGTTTATAATAGAAATAAACCATCATTCTACAGGAAGTATACATATATCTCGAACACTTCGTTTCAGCAAATGCTGATTAGGCAATCTTACAGTTACTACTCTTATTTTGTTATCCCTACCATGAAGAACCTCAGCTATTCTCCCCACTAACCATTTGGTCGAAGGCAAATTTTCATCTTTTATTAATACAAGAGTTCCCAACTGAACGTCATCCTTTAAAAATTTCCACTTGTGACGTTCTTGTAAATTATTAAGATAATCACGTTTCCATAATTTCCAAATTTTTTGTGTATATACTTAGTGATTCTTTGCCATTTAGAAAGTCTGTTCTCATTATGTTGGATAAATCTGGCTCAGCTAGGTTGTGATAGGTCTACCAACCAAAAAGTGACCTGGGGTAAAGTTTCAAAAAAATTATTGTAATCAGCTGAAATGGAGTAAGAGGTCTTGAGTTCAATACTCCTTCAATTTCTGTTAAAACAGTTAAGAATTCTTCTAAAGTTGAAGCACTGGATTACCAATAACTCTCTTCAAATGATTTTTAAATGATTTAACCCTGGCCTATTAAATTCTGCCGAAATTTGGCGACTTTGGAGGAATAACTATCCAACTCTATACACCTTCAGTAGTATAAAAACTCGCTAAATTCTCATCTGGACACTCAACCAATTTTTGGCAATTTTTTGAGTTCTACACTAGTAAGTACCAATAAAGGTTTTAGAATTATCACTCATTATTCTAGTACATTTTCCCCTTCTAGAGAAAAAAAAAACGTTTTTAAGCTTGAAATAAAAGATTGGCTAGTTTGGTCTGTCACAAAGTCTAATTGTATGGCTTTTGTACTCATACATACATATACTACGACATAAATTTTGTTCAAAACTCCCTTACGTTGATTCTTAAATTTTATTGCAAATGGGCCGCAGAAATCAACACCAGTTATGTTAAATGGGTATGATGGTGTGACACGCTCTTTGAGCAACTCAGCCATTATTTGTTGAACTGTGGTGGGTTTGTTCTTAAAACATGTCACATATCTGTAGATGATCTTTCTACAATTATTTCTGCCATTGAATGGCCAGAACCTTTGTCTTACCTGATGTAACAGTGATTGTGATCCTTAATGGAAGTACTTCAAATGAAAATGCTCTAAAATAATAGAAGTTAAACGATGTTTACTAGGTAAAACTATAGGGTGTTTACTATTAGCGGGTAGGTCCGAATAGGACAATCGTCCACCCACTCTAATTAGCCCCATGTTATCAAGAAACACATTCAGTAATGCTAATTTACTTTTGAGGTTTACACGCTTACCTCTTTTCAATTGATTCATTTCCTCACGAAACTCACTTTTTTGGGCCTCTAATAAAATATACACCTCAGCATTCTTTATCTCTTCTAAAGTAAGTACTCCGTACTTCCTTACCTGAGGGTTCTTAAGATTATGGATAAACCTGAAAATGAAACTTACAATACGAATAAGTTTAGTATAATTAGAAGACAAATTAAGAACATCATTTAAGAGGTTTGGTTCATTACATGCAATTAAAACTAACTTAGAATCGTTATGCAGTTCATTGTCCTTTTTTAAGTTCATTTGGGACACCTTCTTCAACTACCTCAAATGATAAGTCCTGACGAGGAATCTCTGAGCGTGTTAGAAAGTCACAGCATGACCACTATTTGGAACAGTTCACAAGAAAGTCAATTTGAACACCATGCGTCATAACATCTGCTGGGTTCTCTTTTGTTGAACAATAGAACCACTCTGTTGGCTGTGTTAACTTCCTAATCTCGTTAACTCTGTTGGCGATGAAAGATTTCCATTTGGTACTGGTACCTTTAACCTCTTCGCGACGGGCGAATCATATATGCATTTCGTACGGACGCATGTGAGGCCCGGGCGGTTCACCTGTGCACTCCTGGAGAACTGGCCAAGTGAACGGGCAGTGCAGATATGCATTTTAAGCTGAAACAATTTTTAATAGCCACTAGATGGCACTCTGTGTCCATTACATTTAAACTGAACGTAGTTTTAGTATTCTGACCTTCAGATTGTTTATATTCTGGCTGTTTTTGGTATTTTGCTTGTCAGCTGTGGCTGGGGAGGGGGGAAATCGTAATGTAAACAAACGCAGCTCGGCTCTTTAAATCGCTGAATGAAAACATTCTCGTATCTGATTTATATCCAATTCCTTTTTTATTCTATTTTTTTCCTCTACTTTGTACGGTCTTTTAGGGTTACTGTGCGGAGTTTTTTTACGTTTTGCATTGCCTTCAGATATATTTCCGTTCCTTCTTTTTTATT